GGTGTGTGGTGTGAGATGAGTGGTGTAAGATGATCATGAGTGGTGTGTGTAGAGGGTTGCTGAGTTGTGTAAGATGAGTGGTGTGATGAGTGGTGCGTGGTGAGTGGTGTGTCATGAGTGGTGAGAGATGAGTGGTGTATTTTGAGCGGTGTGAGATGACTGGTGTGTGATGAGTGGTGTGTGGTGAGTGGTGTGTGATGGGTGTTGTGTGATGAGTGGTGTGTGGCGAGTGGCGAGAGATGAGTGGTGTGGGACGCGTTGTGTAAGATGAGTGGAGTGTGGTGAGTGGTGTGTTGCCATGGTGAGTGGTCTGTGATGAGTGGTGTGAGATGAGTGGATTGTGGTGAGATGAGTGTTTTGAGATGGTTGTGTAAGATGAGCGGTGTGTGGTGAGTGGTGTGTGGTGAGTGGTGTGTGATGAGTGGTGTGAGATGAATGGTGTGTTGCGAGTGGTGTGCCTTCCGCAAAATCTGCGTCCGCTCCTCCTGCAGGCTCTGTGCATTGCGCCTGCCACGAAATCTGCGCTCCAAGTTCACAAAGTGCTGTGCCTGCAGCGAAATCTGCGCAACTTGCAGCGGCCTAGCGGCGACCACGCGTCCATCCGCTCCTCCTGCAGGCTCTGTGTATTGCGCCTGCCACAAAACCTGCGCTCGAGCTTCAGGAAGTGTTGTGCCAGATCTGGCGCGGCCCAGCGGCGACCACGCGTCCATCCGCTCCTCCTCAAGGCTCTGTCTATTGTGCCTGTCACACAGAGTGCTGTGCCTGTGGCGAAATCTGCGCGACACTCTTGCAGGCTCTGTGTACTGCGCCTGCCACGAAATCTGCAGTCCAGACCACGAAATCTGCGCTCCAGGTTCACCAAACGCTGTGCCTGTGGCGAAATCTGCACAACGGCCCAGCGACGACCACCCTTCCATCCAGCCCTCTTCCACATGGTGTACTCGCCTGCCACGAAATCTGCACTCCAGGTTCACCAAGTGCTGTCCCTGCGGCGAAATCTGCGCAAGAGGCAGCTGCGGCCCAGCGGCGACCACACGTCCATCCAGCCCTCCTGCAGGCTCTGTGTACTGCGCCTGCCACGAATCTGCGCTCCAGCTTCACCTACCACGAAGGCCCAGCGGCGACCACGCGTCCATCCAGTCCTCCTGCAGGCTCTGTGTACTGCGCCTGCCACGAAATCTGCGCTCCAGGTTCACCAAGTGCTGTGCCTGCGGCGAAATCTGCGCGACAAACACCGCGACCCAGCGGCGACCTCGCGTCCATCCAGTCCTCTTGCAGGCTCTGTGTACTGCGCCTGCCACGAAATCTGTGGAGTGAGATGAGTGGTGTCTGGTGTGAGATGAGTGGTGTAAGATGAGCGGTGTACGACGAGTGGTGTAAGATGAGCGGTGTAAGATTGGTGGTGTAAGATGGGTGGTGTGAGATGCGTGGTGGGAGATGAGTGGTGTAAGATGAGTGGTGTAAGATGAGTGGTGTAAGATGAGTGGTGCAAGAGGGCGGCGGCGGAGGGCGCAGGACGGAGTGGCGGACGCGCATGGAGCGGCGGGCGCAGAGCGAAAAGCAAGAACCCCACATAGTGATGTGGGGAAATAGAATCAGACAAATATTGCAAACCAACGTTTCGTAAATATTGCAGCTAGCCACGCCCAGAAAAGCGCAGCATCGAAAGAGGGCATCTCTGTATATGCAAATAGATACACAATGATACACATTCCATTTGTCAAGTCTTCTATATGAAACTCAATCACTCGCCACATGCTACCAGTCAACATGTCCTTCATATGTGTTTCTGGCAGTCCTTTTCCGATTTAGTATTTGTTTGGCACGTTCTACTGGAATATTTGGAGTTATGATATTCTTTCCAGCCACGGGGAAAGATACCAAAAGAACACCAGCAGTCGCAAAAAAAGTGACTACAAAAGAGCTATATACTACAAACAAAACCTGAGAGAAGAGCAGCTGCAAACAAAACTGCTGAATCAGTGCCGTTTCTTGTTTTCATCGTCACCAGAAGTTGCAGATTGGCTCTCTGGCCAGTGGGGTCTTTGTGAACTCTTTGTGTGCTCACATGTGTGTCCGCCGTCGGTTGGAAACACAGCAGCAGAAGTAGACACAAACAAATTCATTGAACTGAATGAAATGTCGTGATGTTATCTGAGATGGTTTTCATTTGTTGATTCTTCCTGCCCCTGTTCAATTCCTGGGTTGTGTCTCGCGTGTGGCCGCGTGACCACCTCTTTTGAAAGCAAATACAAAGTGAAAGTAAGATGACTCTAATCTAAAGATCCAAATGTTGATTAAACCATACTTGCACTACAGAATATGGGGTGTGTGTGTACGGCTATGGCACTATGGCATGGCATTTTTAGTAGTGGCACATGGCATCTCATACCAGGACCAGAAAATCAAATAGTCAGTATCGGAGTGTCAGTATCAGAGTATCGGATACATCAGAGACCTCTGTGTTTTTTACACACCTTCATTGATGGCATTAGAGTCTTGTTTGTGTGCTTGTCTTGCTTGTCTGCTGCGAGGCATCGGAAGTGTTGGATGGCATTGAAGACTATAGAGTATCATACGTTATTTGGTTCGTTGCTCAGCATGTGATGATTTCTTGAAGGAAGTCTTCGCGGTGTGCCCAAAACATGATGCAGCTCAAACTTCAAAAGCCTTTTTTTGGGAGGTTGCTTGGTCAAGATGACTCACCTGGTGCCTTGGGTCTTGAGCTTTACTTGTATTGTGCAAAGAGCAAGACCTCAGCACATACGCCAGGTGCTGTCAAGGAGGAGACCAAGGCAGAGTCTGTGTGCTTTGGCAGCTACAAACTGTATTACGAAAGCCAGCCGATAGGCGTGGCTGAGCGAACGAAGCGGGTAAGGCGCAGGCAGTGGGGAGAGCGAAAAAGAGGCAGAAGGTAGTGAAACTCGATGCCTTTAGGGGTCTTGGTGATGCGAGTGATGCAAATGATGCTGAGCAGTGCACCATTAGCATCAAGTGCTCAGGAGATCTGCTGAGGTGAGCTGACCAGGTGTGTGAGTCCAGGTACAGGACGACCACTGGTAGGACAGGAAAGTAGCGCTTGCTAGTAGCTGAGTTGAAATCACTGATTATAGTCACGGTGCCTGACCTAGCTTTTTTATGTCGGGAGATTGATTGGAAAGGTTGAGTGCAACTCCTCCTGGAATAGTTGCTTGGGGGTGCCCTTCTTTGATCTTTTTTGGCGTGAAGACCAGAAGAGAAAGGGCACCCCAAGGGAGTTGGACATTTGTGCAAGGGCATGGGATCCAAGTTTATCCCATGACCAGTAATGGATGGGGGAAGTGGAGGTCTTGTGTAAAAAGGCTTTATCATATTCATATCGAACCGCAATGTGAAACTTTGCGTATGTTTGCCTTCTGTTTTCCTGTGGCTAAAAAACGTAAGAAATATATATATATATGTAGCTTCGACTTCACCCTATAACAACAATAATATATTATTGACTTCTCAATCCCTACAGGGGCTGGTTTTCGTCCCCTCCCTTCTCAAGTCATAGCAGCTGTACGATGCGCCAAGGCCATTCACTTGAGTTTTTTTTATGTTTGTGTTGCGTGTTACTATTTTTTACACATGTGTGTAAATATGTATATATATATAAGTATGTATACATACAGATAACAACAACACTTCATCCAGCTAGTTGCTTTCAGCTATTCTTTGAAATATGTCAAACATTGTAAAGTTGTGCGGAACATCCAAGAATGCAACTAATGGCGTAGGACGATGCATCATGACATGTACAAATACGATGCAGGACGTCCTAATTTTTATCGTGTCGAAAAAATGATCGAACACAACAATTTGTGTTGTCGAAATCCGAGGCCATCATGGGCGTGCTGAGGGTTCACTTCATAGCCAGAATGCACATTGTGCATTGTTAATCTTCGACAAAGCATCGAAGTGGTCCGCATTCCGAAACAGAGCGATCAGGACAATCTTTCTGCACGCTCTGCTTTCTAGATCAAAATGCTGTTGTGTGTAAGAGGGTCAGAATCTTTTGTTTTCTTGGTGTTCAAGCTTTCAACATAGAGACACCTTTGGGAAGGCAGTCCATGAAATCACACTCTTGATGTGTTTGGATTCTGCTTGTCACAAGTCCTCTACGTGTTTGTGTACAGAGTATCACCAACCCAAAAACAATGATCTCACAGAACTGAAAAGGTTTCAATGAGTGGTAATGTGTATACTGCCTGCTGGCGTTCTCCAGTTTTTTGGCGGGAATTGATATTTCCCAATGCAATGCTTGCTTGGCTGCCATGGAAGTAAAGTTGGACCAGTTTGATTTGCTTGGTTGCTTGGAAGAGGAGGAGGTGCAGCTTTTGCTAGAAGCTCAGGAATCAGATGCAACGATTGCAGAGTTGTTGACACAGATCGAACAACTGTACAAGGGTGTTGACAGGGAAAGGAAAGCTTTGCATGAAGATAGCTATCAGGAAGACAATGGTTCATTGCTTTGTGAAGAGCAGATGAAATGGCAGGAGGTTGTATTTGGGAGCAAAAGAGGGACGGTCTTGAAGGATCTTCAGCAGTGCAACAATCTCAAAAGAGACATAGCTGTGGCATCAAAGTTAATACGTGCGATGGAGAGTGTTCCATGTGAGACGCTGCTGGAGAGTGCTCAGAGAGAAAGGCAAGATGGTCAAAGATATTGGGAGAGCCAAGGTGAACATCTCGCGCTCTCATCGTCAGGGCAAACTGGGAACCAGGAAGATTTTGGCGTTCGTCCGCTCGAATGCCAGGCAGGAACCCAGGGCGCAAATACTGTTCAGGAAGTAGAAACTCACACAGGGCATGGGGTGAATGGGCTTGAACAGCCTTCACATCCACTGGGCTCAGAAGAAGCCTCGCCCAACGAACAAAGGGAAACAGACCAAAATCAATGCAGTGACGCTGCTGGTGATGGTGATGGGCCTGAAGGATTTCAAATACCGGTCATTGAAATCAAAATGCCGGGTGCGCAGGCCGCCAAGGGCAAGGGCAAAGGCAAGTGCAAGGGGCCACCCATGCCAACTTGCAAAGCCATGGCAAAGTCCGAAGTCAAAAAACATGAGGCCAAAAAGAACCTAGTGACCTTGCATTGGAAGGCTTTGCCGAAGGCAGCTGAGTTGGATTCCGCGGCCAAGATGTCGTCGAATGATCCACTCCTGCAGAGCTGCCGCGATCTACTATGTATTGCCAAGGGCTCCCCCCCTTCAGCTGACAAAGACATGGCTAGCCACATGACAATCACGGAGGCTCTTGCAGGTGCCTTCCAAGCTAATCAGGCTTGTGAAGACATGCCCGATTCCATGAACGAGGCCGACAGTGTTGCTGGAATTTTTGCCTGGCAACGCTTCTGAATGTCAGGTCTACTTCAAAAGACGTGAAGCTGCTGTACAATTTGCGCCGGTGCCTTCCTTTGGAACACCATGCGCATCATGCACCATGCAGGAATACCTCACCAGTAACTGGTTAGCGTTCTTTGTGCGCATGTAGTATTTTGTGAGGTGGAAGCACTGATGTACTTCATGTCATACCCGTTGTTTTGTCATGCGACCTGTTGGCCCGAGAGTTTGGTGCAAGGGTGACGCCAACAAGAACTCCATTCTCGATGAGAAGCACTGCCGAATGTCCAATTCTCATGCTGGACATTGCTGGACTCGGATGATACAGTAGCCTTTGATGCACTGCTTCAGGTTGGGCATTCTGATGGGGAAGTACCGCATGAAGAACAAAGGCCTGATTGCTTGCCAGTCTCATGCATGCACATCAAATCCCCACCTGTGTTGAGACGCTGTTGACAGGGTCTGCACTGCCCTCCACCTACTAGTGAAACAACTGTATATAAATGCGAAGAGAAAAGTTAGAGTACATAGAGGTTGATCCAATGATTCAGGACTTTGCCACCCTCAACAGTGCGTAAGAGTGCGAACTGTCTAGCTTTGATGCATCCGCAGATGAAAGCCAGCGACAGATTGTGGCAACTATGAAGCGAGCAGAACTCTCCCAAGTTCCGAATGTGGCATTGTGCTGTTGGTACATAGACGCTTTTACACATCAAAAAATGTGCAACGCTCAAACAGACGTCGTCATTCCTACCAAATGCCGAGGTGTTGAGCTGCAGATATGACATCCTGAAAGAGGAGGTTAGGACTTGTCATTTCGAGTTTGCACACATAGGGTATCATAGGTGGCCTGTCCCTGTTTTATATTGCATAGTCTTGGCGATATCAGCGGTTGAGCGGCATATTTGGGCTTTTGCTGGGCTAGTGTCTCTTTGAGAATGAAGAGTGTGTCACATCTCAGGTTACGGCTACAAAGGGGCTTTCACCTGGCGGACCTCTAACAGTTGCATCCACCATCCAACCCTTGCACAGGTGTATCCCGTCAATACGCCCAGGAATTGCTGTACCACGTGGTTACCATTGCGTGCAAGCTACCCATGATACTGCCTGATGTGTATTGCCACAGTCTGCTCGCGCACCGTAAACCTTTGCAGTAACCCAGCTGACTCTATCCACTTTCATTTCAGCAGTTTGAAGTCCTCCAGAAGCGCGCTTCTCTCTTGGGCCAAGAAAGACTTCCTGAAATTGACTAGTCAAATTGCATGCATTTGGGGCCTGTCATTTCCCGCCTGAGCTTTTTTTCGGGTCGCCTTGCGACGGCCACTACCCGCATCAGTGTGATGGTATACCCATTCCCAACAGCAATGGTGTTGGGTTTCAATCTCTGAGCCTGCTAGTGGTGCATCGTGTGATTTTTCGCGCCAAAGCCCGGAGCGCCTGGAGCCTTAGAACTCTGGAACACTGGAACCTTGCACCTTGGAGCTCTGGAACCCGGAGCCCGGAAGCTTGCAACCTTGGACAACTTTTTGTGGCCTTGAGCCTTCTCGGGAAGCTTGGAAGCCTAAACTTTGAATTCTGGAATCTTTGAGCCCTTGAATTTTGGAACCTTGAACTTTTAAAGCTGGTCTGGAACCCTGCACGCCCGTCAGACAGTCGGTTTGTTTTTGCTTGAAAGGCACTGAAGCTTTGTGCCAAGTGGTGTTTTGACTTTTCTTTCCTCCGCTTTGTCTTCACGACGGTCAAGGAAGGCAAAATGCCACCGGCGCAGTGGGGGCCGGAATGGGCATGCACTTTTGGGAAAAGCATGCTGAGAAGACAGGGCTGGAAGAGATCTGTTGTCTTTCTATGGCTGTGCTTGCCATGATTGATGGGTCTGGACATGGGCTGCTTTGCTTGAAAGCCTGGGTAAAGTCTTGCAATCAAAGCTCTGCTTGCGGAACGTTTCTGCTCACAGAAGCACACCTTATCTTGGAATCGGTGTGACAAGATGTGATAAGTATCGTGGGGTGAAGCGGGTTGCCGGCTATGTGTGGCGGAGCGAGTGTTCGCGGGCGTGCTTTTGAGTACATTCAGTGCTGTTTGCATTGTTCAGAAGCAGATGAGTCGTGTAGAAGAGAATGCCGAGACGATGGCTAGG